CCGCCTCAGCAACAGCAACAGCTTTCGCTTTCACCTTCGTCAAAGCAACTACCTCATCCTTCTTCCCTCCTTTGATCTCCGACGTCCACTTATACTTCCTCTCTCCCGGACCTTCGATCTCCGTTTCCCACTTGTACTTCCTCTCCATAGATCCACCTCCTTCCGCCTCCACCTTGTACTTCCTCCCCGGTGGTCCTTGAATCTCCGCCTCCCATTTATACTTCCGTTCTCCAGACCCTTTAATCTCCTTCGTCAATGTGTACTTCCGGTCAGATTCACGGCTCTTAGGGCTGAACAACCGATCAAACTTAGTTTCCAATTCAGAAACTCGCTCGCAGAGATACTGTAATGGATAATCCGGGTCTAATCTCCGGCGAATCAGTTGGTACTTGCAAGACGACGGAGATACCAGATCCGTCACGGTTTCGAGTAGATCGAGTGGGAAATCGAGATCTTCAACCTCGTCGACGTCGATGAAGGAAGGAAACCCTAGTAAAAACGACGAAGGTTCGATATTGGAGGTTTCTCGTACGATGAGAGGTGAACAAGTGTATGGATCGATTCTACGAAAGAAGCTCATGGTTGTTTGTTTGACTCGGGGCTCGTGAACTCAGCGAATCAGGTCACGAGTTAAGGAAAAAGCTTTGACAGAGATTCTGTTTGGTGTTACTGTAATAACTATTGATGGATTGGTAGTGATGATGGCTCACGAATAAGTGAGCTTTGGATTATAAGAGATTTATTTCAGATTTGACATAAACAAAAAAAAAGTAATAAGGAAGAAGAAGAAGACAAATTCTTGAATTTTACGAAGATGAGATTGAGAACGGTCAAAAAACAAGTGGGTCTCAAGGGTGAAATTGACATTTTCTAATCAGAAATCCGGTTCGCCATTTTCCATGCCTTTTTCCTTAATTTTATAAATAGTTACGAAATTAGCAATTTAATACAACTAGTAATCTTAGACACAGAAGAGATACTAGTTGTGTAATGTTAAAATTTAATCGAGTAATTTATTTTATCTGTAAATATTTCCGTTCGTATTATAAATCGGTTTTGCTAACCAGTTCGGTTTGATGAGTAGATGTAGTGAATATTGAAGATAAGAAGACGAAAACAACCATGAAACGTGTGAATATATTACGGCGACAAGAGAATCTTTCGGTGGGATTACAACCTGGTAAAAGATGGTGTGTGGGGTCTAGATACTCACGTGAGCCACACTGAACAATCTTACGTTTTACTCGCAAAAGTCAAAAAGTGCCAAAGATATTGGTCCAAAGACTCGGAAAAAAAAAACCATTAATCATGTAAAAATCCAAAACCAATTAATCGTTGTACATCAACTAATTGCAATAGTTATAACAAGTAAACTTAATGACAAGACAACAACAATTTGCTAACAAAATTAAGTAGGAGTGAGAAGCATAATATCCTCGTTCATTTGATTAGAAAGATAACTATAGAAACTT